GTACAAACAGAAAACGTATAGAAGTGTTATCAGAAATATGAGATCTATAGGAAGAGAGATTAATTACTATGGAATTCTTCAGCTTGGAAAAAGAAACAACCAAGTGATGGTTTGACAAAAATTTGTAGCATCTCAAACGGGAGATGGTAAACAAGGAATGATGGTTTATCAGTTCTTCTAGAACAAGAACAAAGGAGAAACTTACCATGCAACTGACACAAAATGAGTCCAGGAAGATGTGGGCAATTTTTTTAAGTGTTTTTATTTATAAACAAATTGATTAATGCTTTACTATAAGACATTATGAAGCCAAAAATTCAGTGGTTTAGAAAGGATTAGTTAAATCTCTATAAAGGCCAGAGCTGTTAAACACATATTATTTACAACAGCTTAGATGTAACCTCCAACTCAGGAAGGCTCTGGGCCAGATACCAGGTAAATATATCAGTTAAAGATTTAATTGTTTACTGTATGCTTTTCCATGTTTACTACACCTTGGCTTTAAGCATCCACTGTAAATATTGGCAGAGACAGAATACTGAGCAAGATGGAATGACTGTTTAGGCCCAGTGTGTTAGTTTTATGTTCCTATATTGCAGTCTGCTGCAATTAGAAGGGAAGAAAAAAAGTGTCCTTAGATGCTGAAACAGCATAATGAATCCACCATTAATCTGCAGTGAGTAAACTCAAAAATATACGTAAACACCCTATGTACCTCTGAACGCAGCCGCAGAACAGACAGGTTAGAAGTGCACAGCAAGGCTACAGTAGATGCAAAAGTACTCATCTCAAAAGTTTGCAATGTATGAGCACACTGTGAATAAGGAGCTGGAAATTTTTTAAAAAGAGAATAGGAAAAGCCAGACAATTTTTTTCAGATAGCTTTACATCTACTTTTCAGGACAAACAAATTAGCCTTCAACAACAAAGACCATATGCTCCTTTACTGGCAAACTGGAAGGGACACAATGCATCTACAAAGCTTTTGGCCTAAAGCTGGCTCATGCTGAGCAAGTTTGCAGAGGAGTCTGGGTCCACCCACCTAACGTCATGGGGAAACATCTATTGTGTAATATGAAGAGTGGTTAGGATCAAGGTTGGAGCATATGGAATCCTGGCAGCCATGTGGAAGGACTTAAAAAGGGCCAAAACAGACACGAAATCATCATGCTAGTTATTCCCAACAAACTGAACATGACACATGGGTTTTCTTTTCATGGAAATTTCAGGTCTGTAGTGAGAGCAGAGGAAGCCTGTAGAGAGTGAGGAGAAGAGGCAGAGATCATTCTTTGGAGTTATATGGGAATAAGATTGTGTGTCCAAATGTGTTTGACTGAATGAACAAGGAACTACACAGAAACTGACAGGATGGGTTGGGTTTGTTTTCCATTACTTGCAGAGATACGGGATTCTCAGAAATTTTCCAGCTATTGTTCCTCGAGGCCTTGGAGCGCTTTCCACTGCAGGCTTCTTTTTCTAGTAAACCATTCAACCCTCATTTTCCTTCCCTACATAAAAGACAACCCCCAGGCTAGCAGAAACAGAACAACAGACTAGTTCAGCTTGGATCTTAATTACAACTATTGAGTTCACAATGTACTTACTACCCTAATCTCATGCAAATTCAGGTAATATATTTCTAGTTGTGGAAGATTGTGATAAGGGAATAATAAACTGATTACTTCAGAGCAAAGAAGAGAAAATTGCCTGCCTTTAAAACACAGGCAGAATCTTCGATGTTTGAGCATACAGAAAGGAAAGGGTTGCAATGATTTCATAACTGTATATTCAATGTAAATATTTAACATAAATTTTACATTCAATGTAAAATGTGATTTACAGTATTAATTGAGATGCCCACCTCTCCTTTTTTGACTATATAGGAAACATTGGTGAATCATCACTCAGGTATGCAGGCTGAGGGGCTGGAACTACTTAGTGGAAAACCCTACAGAAAGGAGCATGTCATAATTAGCTCCTGAATCATCAGAATGATGATTCCTCTCCTGCATATCAACACCTAGCACTTGGGAAGGTAGCAGCAACTTCCTTCTGCACAGCAACTTTGTGGCTCAAGCTAATGATCAGGAAGTTGAAGACTTGGGACTCACAGCACCTAAGTCTTGAATCATTAGGCTACAGGATTGTAAAATGTTTTTTACCACCACCACCGCAGCTGGATGTCATGCAAAAGGGAATGGAAGGTCCATAGGATCAGCAACAGATGAAGTATATGGAAGCTTTGGTTCTGTAACCCAGTAAGAAGCGGATTCCTCTGGCACAGCAGAGCTGTAGGTTGTGACCCCTGCTTCAATGTTCATTACATATTTTATTTAATGATGCTTAGGTGGATATTGAACAATGAGTCCCTAGAGCAGAAGCTCATTCTGCCCTGAAACAATCATGATAATTACAAAAGAAAACCACCGTTCAGCTCTCCTAGACTGACAATGGCGTGTTACTCTGCTGATTCCAGGCTCCTGAAGTGATCTTCAGATCATAATATCTGCTCTGTGGGGTCATATCAAATGTTCTTGTAACTATCAATCCAGTCTACAAAAGCAGCCTCTGCAAATGCTCAGTGAAGTGCAGAAGGACAGGAGGAACAGACATCTCTTAGAGTACTTATCACAATGCAAATGGGCTTCATCCAAAAGCCACTGAGCTGAATAAAAGTTCACCCACTCACTATTCTTCTTGGTTATTAAAACCACAGCAATTCAAGGCCCAGCAAGGTGATGCATATCTAAAATGTGTATCCAGATACCAAACTTGCTCATGAATTTGAACATCTCCTTTCAGTACATGCATAAATAAAGCACAATCATTCAGCTTGGGAGAAATTGTTTGTGCTACTCCTGAAAAGCCAAAGAAGAGACTAACAAAAAAAAATCCATTGATTAGGAAAGGACCAAATTGAAAATCCCTTAAAGTGTTCTTCAATATTCTCTATCAACAGCTGCAACTGCCTGCATTTTGCTGTCTAGAACACCAAACTGAATTTGCATACCTTTCAGATTTAAAATGGTATTTATAAGAATTTAAATTCTGAAAAAACAATGCATTTCACTGCAACTTCGGAATCAGCATTGTCCCATTAACCCAGCAGGAGGAAGCAGCTGGAACAAACACAAAACTCCTTCTCATTATCCCTGCCAAATAACATATCAAAGTCAGGAGAAAATATCCTACCTCACAGGTGACATAGCTGAACGTACAGAATTTTTTGAGGTCTGATTAGACAAGCTAATAGTAACGATATTGTAACCGTTGTATATGCTCTTAATGTATGAAAGGAAAGATTTACAGGAAGAAAGAATATTTTTATTAGCCCAAATCTTACGTTTGAAAAAAGAAACGTGGTTTTTGAATGCAAGCTCACCTTCAGGTCTGAAACCAAAGAAGCCTTTTACTGATCACAGAGTGGCAGCTCTGAACAAATGCTCTTACCTTGCACCACTTTCCTTACAGCAGAACTGGAAAAAACATGGCCTCTCTTTCTCAATACAACTTATTACTCAGAAAAAACAAAACAAAACAAAACAAAACTAAGAATAAATTACATAGTTCAGATTAATTATATCATGCATAACCAGCCAATGAACTTAAAAGAAAATCATATAATACTTTAACATTTAGAAATAGAGAAATCCCAGCAAATATAGGCTTGTCAGCATTTACAACATTTCTTGCCTGCCATTTTCTGTTACCTGTCCCACTCCCTTCCTCTCTCTACACCTTATGAGTCCTTGAGTTTTCTTTCAGTAATGTATCTTATTCCCTGTGGTTCTCTACAGTCTACTTTGCGTATCCCAGTAATATTTCCTTCTTACCTTTAGAATACATTGTGATACACTGCACCTTAACATTAAGAAAGGTTTCCTGGACTTCGACATTTTTTTCTCATTTTTTTATTTACCCTTCTATTACTGTCTGGGTTTTTCTGAACTTACACAATACCTATTTCACAGTAGTAGTGGAAAGGTAGAGATATTGTTGTTCCAGATACGGGTTCCTTCACCTGGTATGCAAAAAGCCAATCCACACACAGAGTCAAGATATTTGCTTTATTCCAGTTCTGCACACAAAAGGGTAGGTGGTAATTCCACAAAGCTAGCATGCCTAGGTGCTCAAAACGATGCTATTTATCCATGCATAATTATGTATGTATAAGCTATAGCATTTTTATTGGTAATCATTCTACTAAAACCTCTTCTGATTGGCACAAGTTTTCTTCATCTACAGTTAAAAGTATAAGCCCCTAGAAAATCAATGTGCATGCTCAGTGGGTGAGTGTCTTCTTCAGAAGGCAGGTAGCTTCAGCAGCGGGGGTGTGGGTTTCATATTAAAATGAGCAAAGTTCACCCAAAGGACAAGAATTTTGCAACTAGTTTAACATTTACATGGCCAAATTGCCTAGATCCTGTTACAGCAGGATACGTGGCTCCTCATTTCTCGAATTTATATGCTTAGCCAGGTCTTTGTGATCTGAATCCAGCAATCTGGAGATCTAGTGAAGTATCTTACACCAACATGAAAACTCCTTGGTGACTCTTAGATCTGTTTTACACATACACAGAAGAAGTTCAACAAAATTGCTCTTAAGAATCTTTCTTTCCAAGATTTTGAAGTGTTTTCTGATAGCATTTCATGCTGCTAAGTCTGCGTTTCCTGACATGGGTTTTGCTTCAGGCAATCTGGTATTACTGCAAGATGACTGATTTGTCACAGGATCATAAGGAGGTTAAACTGTTCACAGTGGATAAGACAGAAAGTTTGAAAAACACCAAAGGGCAATATTTGCATTGTCTTTCATGCCAAACCTGTGAAGGTAATTGAGAAGGATATTGAGCTACTTCAAGTCTTTCAACATGTTGGACTGGAAGTTGGAAAAGGGAACTGGCATTTATTTGTTCCTTGGTTTGAAGGTTCCTTTCCATCAGATAGTTGCAACCTCTTTCAGACACCTGTAGCTTTGGGATTCATTAATATTTGCCCATTTAACAGATTTCTCTGATCCTCAAAGATTGCTGCCAGGAAAAGTAATCGTCTGATTTCAGATTTTTGAAAAGCTGAATAGCCTGCATTTTTGACACATCCTTTTCCTTGCCAGTTATGGAATCATCATCAGATACAGGCTTTCCAGATGTTGACTTGCCTTCGGAAGGTTTCTTGACTTGGTGGTCTTCCTGACTAATATCCATCTTCACACTGGATTTTAGGCTGTGGAAGCAATAGTCACCAACCTGGCAAAGGAAAACTGGCTCAGTGCTGTCAGGATTCAACACCACCAAGTTACCCTCTGATGAAGGCTGCCTTCTAGAAAGATCATTTCCCTTCTGTAAGATAGGCAAAGAAATCTTTGTGGATTCTGAATGTCCATGGAGACTTAAAGGGACAGTAAGATAATCTCCAAACGTATCCAGGTGCAATTCAGGAGAAGAGCTTGGTGCTTGACCTGAAGCTGGGACCATGACATCAGTTTTCCCAGGAGAAAACTCACAGCAAGAGGGGTCACTGGGGTGCTGGGGCTCCTGTGAATCATGAGGTAACTCCCCAGCAGTGACAAGTGGTGGATGGATGGAGTCACTGGCTGATGGCAGTAACAAGCCCTCTGTGGTGATGTACTCCAAGGGACAGTGCTGAGGAGACGTGATACAGCTAAGAGCCTTTGGAGATTTCTGCTCTTCTGTTCTCATGTTTGTGCCTTTCCCACAGGCTGACGGGGCTCGTGAGACTTCTTTCTCATTGACGAGGTGCTGCCACATTTCCTTCTGATCTGGGAGCAGGAAGGGCTGTGGACGACGTGCTCCTGGCTGTTCTTGCCTCTGTGGAGCCTGGGGACGGTCTTCCTTTGGGAGAGTCAAACACTGAAGGGAAATTGATTTCTCATGGACTCCTACTGGGTCCACTTCCAGGGTTTGATGCCTATCAGGCTGGAAGGACATCACTGAGCTGTACAAGTATGGACCATTGAAAGCAAAGCAAGGGATTGCTTTCTGGGAAGAAATACTTGCATCAGCACTGTTTCTCCTTGAAACAGGAAAGGAATGACGAGCAATCTGATTTGAACAGACAACTGGGGCATGCTCTTGCTCATTTAAAGCATGGTATGAGTTCTGTAGGTCCAGTACAACAGGGGAAACATCTGTCTTTTTAGTCTGCCCTTCAGGGGATTCTGCCAAAGTCTTTGTCTGCCTGAATGTGGGAAAGTTAAAAGTTGTTCATGAGAGATATTATTGTGGTAAACATCAAATATAAAACAAGCTTAGTTGAAAACACACATAACTACACATAGGGTTAGAAAAAAGTCTTTCTTGGAGAAGCAAGGTAACCCAAATAGCAAAAAATTGTATCCCTTTCTCAAAAGCAACTTGTATAGGCTTTTTAGTGACAGAACATTTGATTATAGCCTGCCATGACTTAAGTGCTTTTGGAGACTGTCATCCACAGTGTCACTATAATGAGCTGTTAACTCACCTGTCTGCAACTTGAAGGAAGCTAGCCAGCTCCATCTTCTCTGAAAAGTTGTATTTGTTGAAGTCCAGCTGGCTGCCTGTTGGCTGATTTCCTAAATTTACTTTCTGAAAATGAAAATGCAGATATGACAAAAAAGCCTTGACTCACTGGCAGTAGAATCAAGAACCATACATTCCTCATGGACAAAGAAAACAAATAGGAGAGCCTACAGCATCTGGCAATAGGGATACAACTTCACTAGTGTGACTAGAAGTGTGTTCTGTTCTCCAGGACATGGTTACTTCGAACCCATATTGCCTTACCACTGACCTAACTACAAGCACTCATTGAGCCAACTAGGAAAGAAACCCTCCTAGACTTGCCGTTTGTGAATACAGAAAGACTCGTAGGAGATGTGACAGTAGGTAGCTGTCTTGACCACAGTGAACATGAAATGATTGAGTTTAAAGTTTTCAGAGTAACGAGAAAAAAGGACAACAGTTACTCTTGGGAGTCTGAGGAGGTCCCTGCTGCCTGGAAGCTAGTCAATGTTATTCCAATTTACAAGAAGAGCATGAGAGAAGACCCAGGAAACTACAGATCTGTTAGTCTAACCTCAGTTCCTAGAAAAACTATGGAGAGGATCATACTGGGTGCTATTAAGAAGCATTTAAAGAACAATGCAATCATTAGGCACAGTAAACATGGGTTCACAAAGGAAACGTCCCATTTAACTAATTTGATATCCTTCTGTGATAAGGTCACCTGCCTAGTGGATGAAGGGAAGGCAGTGGATGTAGGGTTTTTTATTTTAGTAATACTGTGCCTCGCAGCATCCTTCTGAACGAGTTGTCCAACCGTGAGATGAGCAGGTACCCAGTGTGCTGTGTGAAGAACTGGCTGAAGGGCAGAGCTCACAGGGTTGTGGTGAAAGGAGCTACATCTGGCTGGTGACTGGTCCCCAGTGGTGTACCTCAGGGCTCAATTCTAGGGCCAGTTCAATATTTTTGTCAATTATCTGGATGCAGGAGTAGAAGGCACCATTAGCAAGTTTGCAGATGATACCACACTGGGAGGGTGCTGTTGACTCTCTCGAGGGACAAAAGGCCTTGTAGAGGGATCTAGAGAGATTGGAGCATTGTGCAATGATTAATGGCAGGAAATTTAACAAGTACAAATGCCAGATTCTGCACCTGGGACAGAGTAACGCTGGGCACAGGTATAATTTGGGAAAAGAGTGGCTGGAAAGCAGCCCTGCAGAAAGGGATCTGGCCATGCTGGTTGACAGTAGGCTCAATATGAGTCAACAGTGTGCCCTGGCATCCAAGAAGGCAAACCACATCCTGGGGTGCATCAAACACAGCATAACCAGCCAGTCAAAAGAGGTGATTATCCCACTGTATTTAGCAACAGTGTGAGCTCATGCTGTGTACTGTGTGCAGTTCTGGGACCCATAATTTAAAAAGCATTTTAAGGTACTCAAATACATCCAGAGCAGGGCAACAAAGCTGGTGAAAGTACTGGAAAGAATGCCTATGAGAAGCGGCTGAGGAGTTTGGGTTTATCTAGCTCGGACAAAAAGAGGCTGCGGAGCAACCTCATTGCTCTCTACAGCTTCCTAAGAAGGGGAAGTGGAGAGGGAGGTGCTGGTGTCTTCTCCATGGTATCCCGTGATAGGATGCATGGGAATGGTTCAAAGTTGCACCAGAGAAGTTTCAGACTGGACACTAGGAATCATTTCTTTACAGAGGGGGTCGTCAAACACTGGAACAGATTTCCTAGAGAGGTGTTCAATGTCCCATCCCTGTCAGTGTTTATGAGGCATTTGGACAATACTCTTAATAGCAAGCTCTAACTGGAGTGGTCAGGCAGTTGGACTAAACGCTCATTGCGGGTCCTTTCCAACTCAACTCTTCCCTTCTCTTCCCTTCTCTTTTCTCTCTTTCAAACTTTACATAGCACAGGGAACAGGAGCCACTCCCTTAAAGACCTCATAGAGATGATGCAGGTTGCTACCACAATAAACATCAAAGCTACCGCTTTGTGCAGTGTTTACTCTTTTCCAGCACCAAATGGGGACACTCCGGACAATATTTCACCTATAGGGGTATAATGACCATTTTTCTGTATCAGCTGACCAGAGAAACAGAATTACTGGGATGTTTACAAAACTTAGGATAAGGTAATTCAGTGCAGGAATGGAATCTTTAAATACCATAAAACTAAGGCAGTGAGTGCTTATGGATGGAGAAACAGGTAGGGAATAGGAAACAAAGCCGTTAAGGTGCTTCCTAGAGTGGGAAAAAGTTTCCAGTTTTATTGTAGAGATCAGGCAAAAGACACTAACTTGAGACTTTAGTATAAGCATAACCAGTTTGTCTTCTGGCACCGGAGAATCCATGCCTAGTCTTTGCCATCAATTTGAAAACTGTGCATTAAACACATTACAATGAAAGTCCATTTTACAGCCACATAACAAACGTACAATGGTCCTTCACTCACACACAAATGTAGATACAGTAAGTGCTCATTCACCTCACACAAAGGCCATGTTGTAAATTACACTCATTAGATTGCTCTGTGTCTATACTTACTGGAACCCATCCCTTATGAGCATAGAATAGAATCAACTGTTATACAAAAATATGTCTCTGTGTGTGTGCGTGCATGTGTGTGTTGGAGCGGGCACCTTACTGAATTAGCAATTCTTGCAAGACTGGAAGACTTTTACCACCAAAATCTAGAGATGCCTATACCACTCTTCCAGCTGTTGGGTTTTTTTTGGTATGGAGGAAGAAAGGAGGGAGGTTCTACCTGCACAAGCTTGACCAAATGCTGTCTAAGTGTGTTCCTTGATTTCCAATAAAGAATGCTTACCACAGTAACAGGCAGACATGTGCTAAAATTTTTTCCAGAAAATTCAGCTCCTTAAAATAAAAGGTTCTTTAATAGGTCTACCACCCCATTCTAAAAAGCTCTGAATTAGTGTTGATTATTATGTGGAGATGAATGAAAGCACCAGCCGATGAAGTTTGCTAATAGCACTAGATTATTTCAGTCAATTAAAATTTTAAAAGTACTGAAAATGTTACAGCGAGATTTTAAATCACAGTGATGCTGGTAAGCACAACACAAAGAAATCTACTATTATAAGATCACAGTTATGTTGAACATGACCAAAACCTCTCCTAAAAATAAAGTATAGACTAATAAAGATATCTATTCATGGTGGACTAGGAGACAAGAAGAGCTCTTAAGATTATTGGAAGTCCTGAAAAAGAGAGAAATATCAAACCCTCCAAGGCACAGTCCTCTCTTACCATAAGGTAGCTCTGGATCAGGAGACTCTTGCTGGGGTTTGGAA